CAAAGCTTCATGATTAATGAAGTCAAAGGCCTTAGTAAATGTCAATGAAACTTCTCCTGGAGCTAACAGGCAACAAAGATCATGTCAACTGCCCTGTGGAATGCTCTGAAGCAACACACAGATTCCAGCAGGACTTCTTCAGCAAGAGGTACATGATGGTTCAGGAGGATTTTCTCCTTCTGTGGAAAGGATGGCAATACCTCAATAGTTTGCTCAGAGACTTATCTCCTTTCTTGAAGACAGTCACAATGTTAGCATTCCTTAGGTCCCCAGACATCTCATTTTCCAAATTCAAAGAATATATTTGATTACAAAGTAATCTCAGTACCAGTTTCTTGTCACCAGCCTTAAATATTTCATCAGATATGGCATCTGGTCCAATAGCCTTGTTCTTGGTAACCTTGCTGGTATGCTAGACTTCTTTTAGGATAGGAGGGTTGGCGAGGGATCCTCTTTCAGGATATTTGGAGATGGACTTGGTGGTAGCACTGGTCACAATTGACTCATGGTTCAGGAGTTCCTTGAAGTGCTCTTTTCTTCTAGAGTGGATAGATTCTTTGTCTCTTGAGGAATGTCGAACCATTCTGCAATTGCAGGAAAGTAGGACTGTTGGAGGTTGGACCATAGATGACTTCCATTGCCTGGGGGAAACTATATATGTCTCGTTTGTCAGCATACAGCTGAATCTTCTTGCCATCACTGGTTTTTGATTTCCTGGATTCTCCTTTGAACTTTGGCTTTGAGGAGCTATGTCTCCTTCTTCTGTTGAGATGAAGTGTCATCTTGCCAAGTAGAATGAGTCATTTTCTTCCACATGAGGAGGGCTTGGATCAATGGATTTAGCATAGGCCATATGGACAGTGGTTTTAAACCCCTTCCAGAGTTCCTCAGTGTTGCTGCCTTCAGCTGTAGGCAAGACTGAGAGCTTTTTGTGAAGATGATGTTGGATCCTTAAAAACCTTTGGGTCTTGAAGAGATTTGATGCTGAAAAACCTTCACATTCCTTTTAGCTGTTTTTGATGTTTAAAAGCAAGCCAGGTGTTCATAATGGATCTTACAAAATGATTAACCATCCAGCAGTCATCTGTTCCGCATGTGGCTCATTTGGTATGGACATCTGGGATCATAGGCTCTAACAATAACATAGTTGAGGAGGTACTAGTGCTTAGAGCAGGGGTCAGCAACCCCTGGCACACGTGCCGAGCATGGCACGCGAGGCCATTTTGCTCGGCACACCACTGCCAGCATGGGCTCTAAGCAGCTGCTGCCGGCCATGGAGCCCAGGCTGCTCCCAGCAGGCGGCTGGGAGGCTGCAAGCCCTGCTGCAGGCTCCGTGGGCCAGCTGCAGCCGGGAGGCTGCAAACAGCTGCTCTGGGCTCCAGCATGTCGGCAGTCTGGCACGTCAGCACTCTGGCACCTTCCAAGGTAGACATTATGTTTTCTTCAGCACTCCGGCCAAAAAACATTGCCTACCCCTGGCTTAGAGTGAGGGTGTCTACAGGTAGTCTTGTATTTGTCACACCATCTGAAGATGGCGCTTGGTGTTTGTAATGACAAGACTGCATTTCATGCATTTGCTCAGGAGATAGATGCTGTTGCAACTGACTTTTCCTGCTCCTTCCTTCCCAATGGTGCCACTCCAGAGTTACAAGTCATACCCAACTCCAGCACTGAAGTTACCAAGAAGTATGATCTTGTCCTTCTTGGGAGTATTAGTTGGAACATGGTCAAGGTTGGAGTAGAATTATTCTTTGACATCAACAGCATTGAGTGTTGGGGCATCAGCACTATAGCGGATCTTAAGGAGGGTCATAAGACATTCACTGATGCCCATGAGAAGCTCTGTAATTTGACTCACATGAAGAACCAGCTGGTTAAACTGATGCCATGAATGCACCTGTCCTGGGCCGATTTCTCCTTCCAGAAGAAAGTGCAGCTTCCACGCCCTTCCCTCAGCTGTTCCTCATCTGGCCATCTTGTCTCACAACATCAGTATCACAGCTCTGAGTATCTCACTAGTTCCCTAGAGGCAATGGCAGCTTGTTGTTTCCAGTCGTATACTGTCTTGGTTGTCCATCACGGTGTAAATGTTCCATGTTGCAAAAAATCATTGTTGTGTTATGATGTTCAAGATCGCAGAGAGAGCAATCCTGGTGGATGTGGTTATCAAGCTGGGAGTAGATAAGACAACCTAGGTTTATGGCACATTTTCTAGGCCCCTCCCTGTGTAGGGTGAGCAGAGAGGAACCTGAACAGCACTCCTCAGTCATGGTGGCAGTTGCTGAATTGCATCGCTTTCTCAACCCAGGTGCAAGAGGACCATCAAGCTACTGCCCCTGAATGCAGATTTGTGATTGGAAACTGGTGGATTCACTGGTCCTGTCTTCATCACCAGTGGTCCATCACCTCAGGGCTTTTGAAGGTTGGTATAGGAGAGCCTTGTTTCCTGTGGCAGAAACCCAAGTGTGACTTTGTTTAATGTGAGGAAGATGATGCACTCATGTTTCCAGCTTGATGCAGGAGACCTGGTTACTATTAGCACTTTTCTCCTGAAATCCCCTCTCAATTTGTATAGTTCAGGTACAGTTAATCAGAATCTAAAAGAGATGTAGAACAAAACTGTGTAGTACTTCATCTTTCGCTTATTTTAAAATTATAAAGTATTTAAAATATTTTAAGCCTTTGTAAACAGTGCGAGTCCTGGCCTAGTCATAATAGTGATTACGCATGCGTAGGATGACTAGAGGTTAGAAGTCTCTGGAACATCTAAACTTCTGACCTTGATGATGCTATGACCTACTTAGGAAACTGAGGCATGTGCAGTTCAAACCTTGTTATATATAACCAAAGAGCAGGAACTTAATATGTTAATAAGTTATGAAGTGATAATGAATATGAGTGGTCCAAGAAAATGATACTGTTGAGTGACATTGATTGATTGAGATGTGCAAGCAGTGATTGGACCATGGTATGATTGGCAGGTGGCGTGAGGCAGCCACTACATAAGCCAGCATGAGGCACCATCTTGGTGTGTATGTGTGTGTATATGTATGCGTGTGCATGAGTGTGCAGGAGCGCACGTGCGTGTCTGCGTATATGGTGAAGAGTGCATGCGCCGAGAAGCTGTGTGAGCTGAGTCTGACAGCCTGAGAGTTTTGAGTGGTGTTGAACCTGTTGGAGAGGCTGGGAAGATTGGGAGTGCAGGTGCTGAGTGGAATGTGTGCAGAGACACCGGAATTCTCACCTGAGATACTCACCTTCATTTCCCATAGGACAGGTAAAGTATCACCTTTCCCTTTAGAGGTCTCCAAGTACTCCACTTGTGGAGGAAAGGGTAGAAATCCTCTGCCTGACAGGGATCTGACAGTAGGGGCCTGCAGCCTGGGTGTCAGTGTTCTTGGCTGCCACCGCTGGTAACAGGCTGGTATGGCGCTCTGTATATATTTGTATATAGCGTTCTGTTAAGTGGTTGTTAACTAGTTCATGTTGTTATGATTATTGTTATTTTTGGCTTGTAATACAGATTGGTTATTAACCCTTACTTTGGTGTTTGTATTCGTTAATAGTAGTGGGCCTCACGGTGGGGCTGGGCCGCAGGCCAATGCTCTGAGAGATTAACCCTTTCAGGTGCCAGCGAATCATAGACCCCTGGCACAGTAGAGGCCTTACAAACTTCTGCACCTGTAATTACCATAGCCCTTGTGCGCCTGTAATTACCACAGTCCTTGTGCCAGGCCAGTCTTCACCTTGTCTACATGGAAGAAAAGGACCAATATAACTATACCCCTCCACGTGCTCTGGAATAGCTATTTTGAATACATTCATTTTATACTAAAATAATTACTCGGCTGTCAGGAACTATTCTGGAAAAATAATTTTTTTGTAATACTTTTATCTTATAACAATGTCCATAGGATTGGCAAGCCTGGAACAGTGATAGCAGAACAGTTATTCCAATATAGTCAATTTCCCCACAGACAGGTGCCAAGTGAGAACAATGGGACAAAACCTAAGGTCATGTGTGTAAAGTTCCTACTGAACTCTAGTGCCCTTTTTAATGTTTCATAAAAAACTGAAAAGAATTGGTCAAAACGTTTTCTTAATGACAGCAAATAAACAAGACTCCATGGATTTTTACATGGTTGTAGAGCCCCAATGCAACACTTAACCAAAAGGAAACCGTTACTTACACTGGAACAGTACTGTATGCTAGTGGTTTCAGCTGTATCAACGGCTGAAAAACACAAGTGAAGACAACCCTCAAAGTGAGGGTGATGACAAAGTAACATGTACCTTGATAAGAGCGATGTATTTCTGCCAACCTTTGTTGTATCTGAGCAAGAAAGCACTGGACTATCAACTCTAGGTATAGTACCCAAGGTAATTATATAAGTTCTTGGATAAGGGATATTACATCAATTATGGTAAATTATGGTACATCAAATACATCAATTATGGTAAATTATACACTTTCTAAGACTACCAGCAAATAACCTTTTTTTTCCTCTTCCTTCCTTTCAAAAGTGGATAGTGGGTAGAGCAGTAGGCTGAGGACTATTTTATTCAGTGTTATTTGTGTAAAAATGCTGATATTTGTAGAATTAATTCTTGCTCTCCATTTGGACAGAGCACAAAGTGAACATATTTATTTCTAGCTTCTATTTTTAAAAATTTTCACTGTTTTCAGGTTCTCTTGGTTCTTATTGTGAGTGAAACTTTCCCTGGGGCCAGAAAGGAGGGAGCAAATGGGCATGCTAAAGACAGTTGTATTAAGTATTTGTTATTCATATTTTCTTCTCCCCATCTTTCAGATTTCTATGACTCAGATTAGGAAAAGTTGCCAGATCTGCCTACAAAATAGTAACATTAGAAACTGTGATATCCCTTACAAAGGACTTAATTCATTTTCATCAGTAACTGCCTCAAAAATGTGAAAAATCACAATATAGTGGTAGACGGAGAAAGAGCGGGAGAGGGAGAAGGAGAGGGAGAAAACTTACATCAATGACAGATGAACTTGTCAGCTTTAAGCCCTCTAGGTCAGCAACTAAACTTGGAGGCAAAATAGCTGGTCTGGGAACTACCACAGGAGTCGAAACAAAACTAACTGCAGAGGGAAAAAAATAGCAGTTAAATCTATTTTTAAATCAACTTCTTAAAAGTAAAAGCATTGTTCCTAAAAGGAAACGATATTATTTTGATTAAACATATAAAAACTTAGCATCTTGATTTAGCTGAGTTATGCTCAAACACATTTTGAACTCTCAGATATTAATCTTTAACATCTCAGAAAACAATGACGAACTGCTTATGTTATCTACCATGCTTATCTACTGAAAAAAAAAATAACCTGAAGTGCTTTGAAGAATGGCTGATGGAGTGCCAACAGAAACTAATATAATAAAATTAGTAAGTTTGATTTAAAATATTTTATGGCTCAATAATATTAAGCTTTTATAGACTGGTAACACAGTTCTTCATTCTTTGTTTCTGTAATCCTTGCCTGGTCTGTTTCTATATTATTCATATAGTGCTATATACTTCGATTTTACTTAGCAAATTAAACCTTTTACGAACTCTATATGCAAAACTCTCATTCACTTGCATGCGATTCCAACATATACTGCACTTAAAGGGAGCAGTCTTGAAATTAGAACATTTACAGTCCCAGAGAATATATACTGCAGGATTTAGTCTAGAAAACTGTTACATTTCTTCTCCCCTGACCTCCAGTACTATGTTTGACTATTCAAATTTTTATTCATGTCTCCTTTATAGTAATGGAATTAGCTCACAGATTAACTGTATCACTTCAACTTTAACGAGCATCCACAATAGGCCTAAAGCAATAATTCCATTTAAAGGGCATAAGATCATTGGATCATAGGAAAATAGAATTGTAAGAGACTTCGTGAGGTCATCTAGTCCAGCTTCCTGCTCAAGGCAGGATCATTCTTGACTTAAACCATCCCAGCCAAGTATCTAACCTGCTCTTGAAAATTTCCAAGAATGGAGATTCCACAATTTTTCTAGGTAGCCTGTTACAATGCATGACTAACCTCACAGTCAGGAATTTCCTCCTAATCTCCAACTTAAATTTACCCTGCTGGAGTTTAAGGCCATTGCTCCTACTCTTGTCCCCTACATTCACAGAGAAAAGCCCGTTCCATCCTCTCTGTAAATTGCCCTTCAGGTATACTCTTATAAAATCCCTGCTCTCCTCTTCTCTACCTTAAATAACCTTAATTTTTCAGACTTTCCTCATACAAAGTCCAGATCACAAAACTTCAAAACAAATGCAGGTTTAAAATACCAGCACATTAAAATATTTAAGACTGTTTCTGACAGTCTTAAACTTGACAAGAGTAATTTCCTTAATTGCATTTGATAAAGAACAAATATGTGATCTGACTGACAACTATTTGTTTCTGTGAACTGATATGCTAAATGAACAGGATGATTGCCTCAGGCACTGAAGACTTAATTGTACTGATCAGCAGGGATCTGGGTTTTCCATTTTGTGTGGAAAAATATGAAAAAACATGGATTTACCTTTTAAAGGTGAAATTATGGATTTTTCCCTTTGAAGCAGAAAGCCACTGACAGCGAGGAAGCCGTGAGCAGGGGGCAGTGGGCAGGCATGGCCAAGCCAGTAGCGGGTGCTTCCCCTCGCCCCCCACCGGCAGGGGCTGGAGCTACAGACAGAACCGGGGCCGTAGACCCCTCTGCACAAGGGACAGCTGCAGCTGGACTCACATCCTGGTGAGTGAAGGGGGCAGGAAGAGCCTTGATTTTCCATGATAAAAAAACCCAAAAATCAAATGCCACAATATGCAGGTATTTAATATTTATTATAACGACTAAGGCACTGGTAGGGTGCCAAACCGCTTTCAAATTGTAAATATATCAATAAAACATTGTGTTCAACTGATACCTATATATATAGTAGCATTTCATTTTAATCAGAGAAAAACATGGGTGTTGGGGTTTTTAATCAGAGAATTTTGGATTTTTTTAAGGAGAAAACCATGATCCCCACTGATCAGGTAGTCTTTGACTGCATTCTTAAAGAGATATAATAGCTTAAACAGAATACTTACAATCATCCAGATCTAGTAAGGACACATCTTGTTTATTGGGAGTTTTTTTCTTTTGCTGTGTTTTTTCTTCTCTCTGTCAAAACACATGAATATTTCATCTACTGCTATCCAAGTAAAAAGAATACTCGCCTATATTTTTATAACAGCAAAGCATATTTTCTCCACTTTAAAAGAAAAATATGTACCCATTTCGCTCATGTCAGCATTCTGCAAGTTCTCATGGTAAGAATTCTTAGTATGCATAAACTGAATTATATTCCACAAACTTCTTAATTAACTTTGCAGTTGAAATAAACTTTTTAACTACCTCCTGCTTTATTACTCCCCCCTCCCCCCAATACCTTTCTGGTTTAGTAACCCTAGAGCATTTTTTAATGATATAAACATAAATAAAACTTCTAGAAAAAGATCAAATGGTTAAAATTTTTCTGCAGAGGGAAAAAAAATGGAAAACCTGATAACAGTACCCTTTTGGAAGAAACCAAGCTGAATTTAAGCAACAGTATTTCTCCCTCCTTATGAACCAACAAAAATACCTCCATGTGAATAAAACAGTATTATTTGGAATGCAACAGAATTTTGGAGCCCAAGTCATGGACCAAATCTCCCATACACAATGTAGTGCTCTGAGGATTCCTTCGGTCTGCGGTAAGCTCCTGCACTTTCTTCAGCCTTCTGTTTGGACACAGGCTCTGCCTGTTAACACCATTGGAGAAGTGGGATCATACAATCCAGCTGCCCTACATCTACCAGACTATTACTGACACCCAGAAGTTTAAAACACACCCTTTCCAAAACTGCAAATCTTGAGTATTCTGGTTTACCTCTTCAGGGAACTGCAACAGCTGAAGTACAAGAAAATAATTTTATAGTTTTAGTTTTTAAGGGCCAGAAGGGACCTTTCAGATTATCAGGTCCAGCCCCCTTGCGTGCGGGCTGGAAAGACTGCTGGGATCAGATGACACCAGTAAGATGGGCAACAAGACACTTTTTGAAGATCGTCAAGGTGGATGCCACCACTGTGGGGAGCCTGTTCCAAACCCTGAGCACTCGACTGAGATCTCATAATGGCCAGAGGAAACGCTACAAGGACAACCTTTCTTGAAAGCATACCTCAAGAAAATGGATGCCAACATCAAGAGCTGGAAGAGGCTAGCTGCAACTGAAATCCAGTGGTGCTGCAACCTCAACCAGGTCGCAGTCTACTTTGAGGTAATGCATCTTGCCCTCAAAGCAGAGAAGAGAGAGTAGAGGAAGGAAAAGAAAAGGAATCCTGGCCTACTGCCTACTCTCCCCTATGGAAAGGCCAGCAACTTTTGCAGATGGATCTGTGGCTCAAAGACTGGACTCTTAAGTCACCTCAAGACCCATGAACGAGTCATGGTAGAGGCCATTCTCAAATCAAGAAACTGCCAACAACAACTTTGGAAGTATAAAGTACAGGGCATGTCTAGTGCAATCCATCCCTTGTTATACCCTCCCTGTCATTATCAACTATCATTGATTTACAGGTGTCAGATGATGTAGTCCTGGTTCCAGGAACAAAATAAACTCAACTGCCATTTGAATAGGCTCATGTGATCTCCTCTTAGTATTTCTGTTGTCCAAATATTCTTACAGTACAGCATTCGACAACATCACACATATTATTAACCATATGTTTTCAATAAGGACTGTGAGCATTAATGGTGTCACATTCTGAGACAGCTTTACTGAAACAGCAACCACCAAGAACATCTCATAACGGTAGAGAAATAAAAGAAATTAGTGTTTTTCTGAACACTGTTCAGAAAGATGGATTGTTTTTTGCAGTCCATCTTTAAAGCATGGCAAATGTGTCCCCTCAGACTCTGGCAGCTCAAGAACTCAACAGATTTGCTTCATTTTTCCCAAAATATTTTTGGGATCAGAAAATGTATAAGAAATTTCATTATGAGGTAATTTTTTTCTGTAAAAATATTTCAGTGCATTTAGAGGGTAAAAAAACCTGACAACTACAGAATCATTATTTAAATTCTAATAATACACAGCAAGAGAAACTTCACTATGTGAAGTATCAAAACTTTATATTGAGACAATAACTCTGGCTTTCCTTTAAACAAGTGCATGATTGTCTTTTGAGAACTGTAAACTTCCTTGTCTGGAAAAACTAGAAAGCAACCAGATCAAGATAAAGCTAAAATTAGAGCATTGGTCAAGTTATTCTCTACTTCATAGTTTGGAATGTATAACACTTTAAAATTTATATTTAAGTCAAAGGCAAACACAAAAGGCAAAGCAAGTAAGGTAATTGGCCTCTCATTACAACTCTTTTTCCTTTGATGTTTAAGAAAAAGAAATTCAAGGGCTTTCTAGGAATAATAAAAAGCCAATGACCGATACAAACATTACCAACAGATATGTCTGCACAGGGTAGAGAGAGAGAAAGAGAGAGAGCTTTGCATTCCAAATCAAAGATATAAAAACATTCTGATATATTCAGCATCTATGTTGTGTTATTTTTCACCTTTAAAAAAAATAAAATAAACCTACAGTATAAACAGAACAGTTTCCTACTTAAAGAACCTACTCTGGAAAAAAGATGAATATTAAACAAAGAAGTTAAGCTATATTCCATCAAACATTTCTCCATTTGCAATTCATCTTGGTAATAGAGATAGAACCTGGGTAAATGCATATAGGACTTGAAGCAGGAGATTTCTCTTGCTCAATGCATAATTCATGTGCTCCGCCTGCAAAGTGTGTAAAATGAGAATTTCACACCGCAGCGTGAGCCATGGAGCTGCAGAGAAAAGGCAGATGAAATCATATTTTACTGTGTGAATTTTATTTCTTATCTTCCCAATATTTATACAAAACCATCATTGACAAACCAAATGCATTGACAGATCACCCACTGTTTCCATTGTGTTAGCACTTGAAAAGAGATCAGGCAGAAAGATAGACAATTTGTTTTTGTATATTTTTTAAATAGTGGATCAGGTTTTTAACAGCTGAGTGACTATATTAGACTTGTATAAAGAAGCCAACAGTAGCTGATTTTAAAATCTTACTGTACAGGCACCTATTTATCTGTGCAACATCCTCAAATCTGCATTTTATTTCTACAGTATTTGATTACATATCAGAGCACCTCAAAGTATGAAATACAGTACAGCAGGATAGGAAAGTGAATTTTCTGTTTGCTGTAGCTTAGCTACAAAGAATCCAAATGCTTTTTCAAAGTAACAATGTTACGAGTGAAGCACAAAAATGTTAATATTGTATTCAGCCAAAATAATCTTGGACCATTGCACATATCTATTTTTATGCTTGGACAAAGGTAGATATACAAAATACATAGAAAAAAAATCAAATAATATTTTCTTATGGAAGCTGTGTGTAACATGGTATTAATATTCAACTCCAAATATTAAGACAGTAAATTAAACTAAAAAACATTACAAAGATTATATAAAGTTTACTAAATCTGTAGTGAACTTAGAAATTGAAAATTGCCAATATAATTTCTCGCATCTTACAGCACAGTATTTCCATATATATTTTTAATTGCAAAGCAGGTGAAAAGCTGATGAATTTTATATCTCTGTATAATGAAAAAAATGAGACAGCCAATGCAGAAACTGGAGCTGGAAGGATTGTGGTCAATTCCTCATTAGAACAAAATGGGCAGAGTCTGTACTAGCAAACATTTCACAAAAACATAGGTATTTCTGTGAGCAGATAAACTCCAGGAAGATTTGAACAGGAGTACAATTGGGGCTGTTACTGTGACAACATATACTGACATAAAGAAAATCTATGGAAAGTGTAAAGATAGCCTTTTTTTTTTTTTTGCTTGGGAAGATGTTTAACATGTCACTATTTAGCTCCACCTATTGTCTTGAGGGAGCCGAGGGTAAGGTGTTATAGGTTGTATTAGACCATATTAATATTAATGAGAATAAAAACCCCTTTATATATCAGATAAATATAAAAAGAAGTCCTTAAGAATCTTTATGTAATCAGGAACCTGAGACAACATCAATATCGAAAAAAACACAAGCATTGGGCAAGGCTTGAATAGAAGTTAAACTGCTTGGTCTAAGGCAATGGTTCTCAGCCTTTTTTGTACCTGAACCCATGTGCAAACATTGAGGGCCAGGCTGAGAAACACTGGTCTAAGCAAACTGATACAGCAAGTGCTGAGACTAATACATTGACTGGGGGAAATGTCCTTGGCCAGGAGCCTTCATAGGAAAAACACCAAAAGCTGAGAGAAAAGGAAAAAAAGGAAGCATCGGATTCAGTCACAGCAGTGCTGGAATCTCCCAGATTAAGTCCAGTCCCATAGTACTGCATTAAACTGTGCTAGGTTACATGCTTTCGTGAGCTCAACCAGCTCCATCTTAAACATACCATTTTATTGACTGTTAGCTGAAAAGATGCTCTGGAACCTAACTCCTCTGATAGTTAGACAATCCCCCTTCTTCTCTTCTTCCCCCAAGTGGCACCGCTGTGCGGTGCTGGACCCACCGCCGGAGCTGCTGGAGAGACTGCAGCGACTTGGCGTGCCGATTCCTGAGGCGAGTGGGGGGCCTCGGCTTTGACCGGGAGCTGTTTCAACTGGACCTCACCTTCCTGAACGAGGCGGTCCTTCCCCCGTTCTACCGCAGCATGGTGCGGGCCTGGCGGGTGGCCTTCCATCTCTGTCCCCAGGCCAGGCACCTGCGGTTCCCGCAACTGCTCCGAGAGCCCCTGGTC